ATAATAATAATAATAATAATAATAGCAATAATAATAAAAAGAGAAAAAAGTAACGGGAATAACAGCAAGCAGTTTGTAATAATCACAAACGTCCCCTCTGGCAGCAGGCAGCTCAATGCAGCGCCTTTCATTTTCTCAATGTGGTGCGTTTTCCAGCCTAGATATTCGGTTAGTAGGTTAAACCTTTTTTTTTTTTTTTTTTTGAAGGCTTCATTTTTACCTTGATAAACAGAGCAACGTTCTATCTCTTGGGCTAACGCCAGTATCAGGATTTCATTGTCCTGATTTTCTTGCTTCTCTGGCTGCCTTTGATTTACGAACTCAAGACACCTTTCTGCCACGTGTCAAAGTTTTACTTCTTTCTGATTTGTCCTGACAAAAGGTTTCCCCTCATCGACACCAATGGAGAAAGGAGTAATCTGTTAGATCGGGGGTTTTTTCGGGAAGAGGGGGGGTGGGAGTTGGAGCGTCAATGCTCCGCCGTTCACATAATGATATAGAAAAAGGCTATGAGGAGTCACGTCTTTGGCATTCTGACCAAGTGACCCGTCCATCTCAGTTGGATCATCTTCAGGTGGCAGTAGATGTTAGGAGCGTTTGCCTTCTCAAGAACTTCAATGTATTGGATATTTTCCCTTCAGTGAATCACTAATATTCTTCTCAGACAGGACAGATGAAACCTGTTAAGCTTTTTAGTATGTGTTTTTGTATGTGTTTAGTATACTGTTTAGGACTCAGCTCCATAATTGTTTAACGTTTGGTAAACAACACTGCTATACACTGAATTTTAACTCGGCGTGTATGCCAGAGACGTCCAAAACTCTGTTTCTCAGTCTACCAAACGTAGAGTTTGGTATGTTCATCCCACAAGCAATTTTAGCATCAATTCAGGCATCCGCAGAACGGACACTACCAAGATAGATAAAATTTCCTACTGCCTTGAGCTGGCTATCATGCACTTTGATAACTGGGGGAGCGATATTTGTTGAATTTTGAGCAGGTTGCTTGAGTTCTTCAGTCTGATGCAGAGCCCAGAGCTGTCACATAGACTGGAGAAAGAATCCATACGAATTTGCATAGCTACCACATCACACTGAAAGAAAAGATGATTTTGCTTGGGGTACCTTACATGGGCATATGTTTCTTAATGAAAACAATGTCACAGCAAAGGTTTAAAATATATAAAATGATATACAAGAGTATAACGCACATGAAATTTAATATCTATTCATCATTGTCGGTGCTGTAAAGTCAGAAAGCGTAGCCCCAGAAAATAAAGCATTGTTTAGGCTAGTTTGGATAAACGTGACACGTTTGTGTCTTAAATGTAAATGGCGTTATTTGATGCGAAATCTTATTATCTCGAACGTCCAGACTAATTTAATTTACTTGTGGGGGAGTTTGATTCCTCGTTTGACACAAAAAAGGCTGAGCAAAATCTTGATAACCATGAATATAAAGAGCAAATTTCCTAGACGCAAAATACAATGGAATAGGTTTATTTTACAAGCTAATTCCAATCTTGGAAAGTCATGGGTTGTTCACCAAACCGACAGGGTAGACAAGTGGTAAGAAGAGAGTTTTTTAAAAATGTTGGAACAGAGTTAAAAAAAAAAAAAGAAGGGAGTAAGCCCAAGGAAAGACAGCTCGAAGGAAAAGATTTAAAAGAAAGTTAAATAGAGGAGATTGTATTGAGAAGAATTGGAAGGAAGAGAGTTGAAGGGAAGAAAGCTGGAAGGGAGACAGTTAGGTCACGAAGAATAGATACCACCTATGAGACCGAAATTTCCTGCTTTTTGAGGAAGTATAATAATCCATCTTTTGACAGCAAAAGCAAAGACGAAAAAATTGCATATTATAACAGTATTGATGCCTTTACATAATATGGGCTCAATTACAAGTATAAGCTGAAAAATGTATTATTATTTCTTTCGAAGTATTTAACTAAAAAACGAAACGAAGACTACTTTAATAAAAAGTGTAAAGGCTGACCCAGCTTACCTTAGTTAATTCGCTTTACAATGCTTCGTTAAAGAAACGAGCAAAATGTTTAACACCCAATACATTGTCAATGGTGTCAGTGAGCTGTTAACAAAATCAGATTTTTAGAAAATACTGAAGTAGCTATTCTTTAATGTGCTTCAACATCAAAAGTTATAAGAAACTCATTTTCTTATCATCGTTTCTGACAATAATTGGGTAGCTTTACTCTATTGATTTTTAAGGAAATAAGATTGTTTCTTTTTTGTCAAAGATGATATCCTTATTAAGCTGCGTTTGCAATAAATTACAAGTAAAAGGCGCTGTAATGTTGGAAGCTCTGATGTTTAGCGTTTTATGTTTCAATAATATGGAGGAGTGAAACTAAATCATTTTTTTCTGGGTAAGTACATTTTTCTGAGTCGTTGAAAGGCTAATCTTAGAAGAATTTTTGT